GCTAGTTAAAATATTGATACATAAATTATAATATATTTATTAAAAATATATTATTATTTTGTTCAAATATTTACTCATGATTTTTTTAGTATTCATGAAAAATGTTGAGAATTTTTTAATATTCATAATTTGTATCTCCGTATAAAAATAAAATTCTGTCTCTGCCTGTCCTTCCACATAATTCGAAAGACATGCAAAAGTAAAACAATTTAGTTGTAACTTGTAATTATTGCAAATGTCTATGAAGCAGAATGATCAGCATTACTTCCAAGGCTAGTAGCAATAAGATTTCCAAAAAAAGAGATGGCTATCATGCAAGTCTTCGGTTTCCTTTGGACATTTTTTTTACTATTTTTTTAAAATAACTTTTTAGTATAAAATTTTTTTATTTAAGAAATTTTTTTTACTAAAAATTATTTTTAAAAAATAGCCAAAAGCTATCATAAGCAAAGCCTTCTCAATAAAATGTATTTTCTAGCAATGCAAGCAATCTTATAGATCAAATGAACTTCAAAGTTCTTAAATTGTTCTTTAACTAAGCTACTGTCTTAACTCTATAGTTCACATATTTCAAGTCATCGCTCTGGTGAGAAAAGAAGAGTGGTGACAAAAAGGTTTTTTTTTTTTTTTTTTCACGGCTTTTTATTGCTACTTAAAACTATTTTTAATATAAAATTTTAATTTTTATTAAAAAACAGTAATAAAGTCATGCCAAACGTAAGCTATGATTATATGAATTAATAAAATAATAGTAGAAAAGGCAGAATGTTTGTGCAATTGTAATAGAAATAGAAAAATTGAAAAAAATATAATAACAAATAAATCTACAGAAAAGCAATATTTAAACACTGCAGCATCACAAGTTAAAAAAGCTATTCCAAAGCATAATTTACAACATTCAAAATAGTTCCATCCTGCCCAATGCAAGCAAGCAACCCCTAAATTCACTCCCAAAAGAATGAGATTATCTTTGCAGCAGAAAGGCAGTTCCTACCAAACCCATCCAAAAAGCAAGCAGAGTCCAGAAGCAGGATTCTTCTCTAATCCAACTGGGGTCTCCACACCATGAAGTCGCCCAAGAAGTCCCTCGATGATGGAAGTTGTTTGTAGTGCTAACAAACTTTTTTCCCTGACCCCCATCTTTATATTTGTCGCTCCAGGTTCCGCGTATCTGTAGTTTTAGTCATTTTTAATCATATTTCACAACCATGACAATAAAAGCTAGCATTTAAGCTTATTAGGTGTTAAATATGTCCAATTATGTGGCATGTATTTAAATAAGAGAGATTATCAAAGAATTCTTAATTTATTTACAATATCTAACAACAGAATTTTTAATTTATTTATATAATATTTACTGTCTCAATCACAACAAAATGCATACATAAAAAAAACTACACTTTTACTTGTAAAAAGATAATTTTAGTGATATTTTTAGGTGATTTAAATATATTTAAATAAATAGAAAGATTTGGATATTTAATAAAGAATAATTGTCAACATTACTGAATTTACTAAAAGTGGTGACATTACTTGATGATACAATTAAGCGCGTGAATTTTTTTTTTAATGACGAGAAACCGTCTGTTGCCGTCCTAGTTTCGCCAAGGCGCTTGGCAGTCCGTAAACCCCGGCCGACCTACCGGATCACCCACACCAATTTGTACCAGCAACCAGTGCTTGATGGCCCCCACTCAAGGGGCGACTGCTGTTCGAGGGAATCAAACTCGAAATGAGGTGTTCCCATCCGAGCACGCCCACCAACCGAGCTAAACATCGGTGGGTTAAGCGTGTATAAGTTAAAGAACAATTTAAGAAAAGTTCTTAATGTCATCTCTATGGTGAGAAAAGAAAAGTGGTGACATTAATTGATGATGCATAATAATAATAATAATAATAATAATAATAATAATAATAATAATAATAATAATAATAATAATAATAATAATAATAATAATAATAATAATAATAATAATAATAATAATAATAATAATAATAATAGAAAATGCAGAATGTTTGTGCAATTGCAATAGATAATTGAAAAAAAAAAATAATTAAAAATAAATCTACAGAATTGTAACATTTCACACTGTGCAGCATCACAAGTTAAAAAAGCTATTCCAAAACATAATTTACAACATTCAAAATAGTTCCATCCTGCCCAATGCAAGCAAGCAAATCCTAAATTCACTCTCAAATAACACACACTATCTTTGCAGCAGAAAGGCAGTTCCTACCAAACCCATCCAAAAAGCAAGCAGAGTCCAGAAGGCAGGATTCTTCTCTAATCCAACTGGGGGTCTCCACACCATGAAGTCGCCCAAGAAGTCCCTCGATGATGGAAGTTGGTTTGTAGTGCTAACAAACTTTTTTCCCTGACCCCCATCTTTATATTTGTCGCTCCAGGTTCCGGCGTATCTGTAGTGTTTTAGTCATTTTTAATCATATTTCACAAGCCATGACAATAAAAGCTAGCATTTAGCATAATTAGGTGTTAAATATGTCCAATTATGTGGCATGCATTTAAATAAGAGAGATTATCAAAGAATTCTTATTTATTTACAATATCTAACAACAGAATTTTTATATTTATTTATATAATATTTTAGTGTCTCAATCACAACAAAATGCATACATAAAAAAACTACATTTTACTTGTAAAAAGATAATTTTAGTGATATTTTTAGGTGATTTAAATATTATTTAAATAAATAGAAAGATTTGGATATTTAAATGTGAATACATAAGACTTCTTTGCGATTTATGTAAATCCCCTTTTGAATTATGGTGCAAGTTCATTATATCAAATATGCAAGAGATGTATGATCAGAGAACCTACCCTAGGAGGAGATCAGGTGCTTCTTACAGAAAGCAGAAAAGAGAATTTAGTACTCTTACAGAAAGAACAAAAAAAAAATCCTTAAGCTGTCGTGAGGCTGTCAACCAAACTAAGGCAAATTTTGACAAATTTTAGTCCGCCCTCCATCGCCATCAAAAAATACTAAATCCCTCCCATCAACTCCAAATTTGATCTCCACATAATCCCATTACATCCAAAATTCATTCAATTCCCTCTGTAAACCCTTAATATTGATACATTCTTCCAAGATTAGTTAAATTTGTCTAAATTAGGTCACCTTGACCTAGTATTGGTTTTTACCTATCCCATGGCCTCCAAATAACTTAGAATTTCACTAGACACTCCAGATCATATCTAAAAACATTGCCGTAACATTCTCAGATATTTACAACAACAACAACATCAAGCTTTTATCCCACCACTACGTGGGGTCGGATACATGAATCCTTTTTCTCCATCGTGTCCTATTAAAAGTCAAATTCTCGTTTAAATCTAATAAAGAAAGGTCATTCCTAATATTTTCTAACCAAGTCTTTTTAGATCTACCTCTACCTTTCTTAACATAAGTCAAATCTAATACCTCTACTCTCCTAACCGGGTCATCGGAAGGCCGCCGTTTTATGTGACCAAATCAACTAAGGCGACTCTCTCTAATCTTATCTTCTAAAATTCTCAAATATTTACATAACATTAAAATTTATTACGTGCGTACGATAATCCTATGATTATATGTACTTAGCTCTACTTAGGAATATCTCCACCACATAGCCTAGCCTACCACCTATGTGAGAACTTACCATCAAAACCTATAATGAATGAATTTCTTTATAAGGGAGTACTCTACACACAAATCAACATAAAACATAAAGTGCAAACCTATATATAAAAGCCATTTATATTAATTTAGAATAACTAGGGATTATGACAAGAGGCGTACTTTAAAAATATTTTATAATATATGCTTGCCCAAAAATCAATGCAAAAGGTTTAAAATTCAAAATTGCATGCATGAATCATCACCTTATATAAAGAGAGCATTACGAACATTAATTAAAAAAAAAAAATAGACGACCCCTCAAAAAGAGTGAAGTTTCTTTTTCTAGCATCTTATAAACTTTACTCTTGATCATCACACCACCCATGTCATAATTATTCGATAAGTTTCAAGTTGATTGTCGACTATATAATGAAACCCCATACTTATCAACGACGAATGGCGCACCACGGCGCAAAGTTCCCTGTCTATGCGCCATGGCGCGGCACGCGCCATTTTGAACACGACACAAAATCACAAATAATTATAAAAACTATTTATAATTATATTAAAAAATCATTGAAATTGAAATTATGGGCACCATTGCGCACACATGATGTAAATGGTGTGCGCCAGCTTGAACATGTATGCCACGCCATGTAGCTGGCGTCATAGGTGTGTCGCTCCATGCCATGAACCATGGTGCGTGCCATTGACAAGTATGTGCAACCCTCAGCTCTTCTCATTCAGGACTTGGGACCTGACAACAACAGTCTTAGAGTTCGAGCCTGACAGAAAAGAATCCAAGACCGAGTTGCTCCAGTGGAAGATAAGATTAGAGAGTCGCCTTAGATGGTTTGGTCGCATAAAACAACAGCTTTCTGATGAGCCGATTAGTAAAGCAGATGTATTAGATTTGGCTTATGTTAAGAAAGGTAAAGGTAGAGCAAAAAATATTTAGTTCGAAAATATTAGAAATGACTTTTTTTTTAATTAGATTTAAATAAGAATGTGACTCTTATCATAACACAATGGAGAAAAATGATTAATGGCCGACCCCACATAGTGGGATAAAGGCTTGAGGTTGTTGTTGTATCATAACACTCATATCAATCTCAATAAATCAAGTTGAGAGTATAACCAAAATAGTATAGCAAATTCCATGAGTGATTTGAGGCACATAATTTATTGAGAAGATTAAGACCTGATTTCATGAGTAGGGATCAAGTTATGAGATAAGAAACTAATTGGCCATTTTGGTGGAACATATGTAAAACCTAGCCCCTCAAAATCCCACCCTAACTCCTACATATGTACAACCCACCTACCTTGATTCAAATGATGATATGCCCCTACCCAAACCCTAGATAAATTCAACATCTTAGAAGGCCACCTTTTCAAATGAATAGAGGAAAAGGAAATAAAAATAATAGGTATATTGAAAATTGTAATGGCCCAACCAAGAAAATTAAAGTGAACTCACCTTCCCATGATGATATATATGATCCTAATAAGCTTTTAATTTTGATAGTGCAATTTGATGATTTCTTTGAGTTGCATAAAATGAATGATAGCAAATCGGTCACTTTTACTAAGTAAATCGCATTGGTTATGCAAAGATCTGTTGGACCAACACATTAGCAAAAGAGTAAAGATTAAGGACCAATCTCAATTAGGCAGAGATGAAGGAAATGCTTAGAGGTAAATATTACCCAAGATACCATGATATGAAACTACATGGGCAACTATTAACTATGTGATAGGAAATCCTTTAAGTAATTAATATTCAACGCCTTTGAAAACTTCATATTTAGGACAAACTCTCTAGATAACGATTGACAACTAGTTAATAAATTAATCATTGATTTTAAAATACATATTAAGAATGAGGCAGAGATGTTTGACTCCCAAACATTAGAGGATGCTTTCCATTGTAACCTCGTGGTAGAAAAGTAAAAACAAGCTACATATTTTCCAAGACCTAGAAGTTAGACCACTACTACTTCTACCCAGAGATCTACTGTTAGGCTTAACCATACAAATAATAGCACATAAACCACTAGGACTCCTATTGAAAGGAGACCATCAGGGAAATCATATGTTTTATGTGCCACAGGAAGAGCCACGTGCAGTACCAATGCAAGACCAAAATCTTATTCCTATATGAGTTTCATTTGCTTAAGGATAATGATTATGAGGAGGTTATGGATGAGACACCCCCATCTAAAGGGTATATTCATATTGAGAATGACCATCAAATTGGATTCATGAGTTGTTTAGCAATTTTCAAGAATGCAGCAAAGGATTAGATGGGAAATATTTTTCTAAAATCCCGTGCTACGTAATGACAAAAGGTGCAAGAATATCATTGCTAGTAAGAGTACCATGAATGTTATATCCACCCATGTACTAAAGAGGGCTAATCTTAAGTCAAGCCTCATTCTCAGGCCTTTCCAGTGAGTTGAGTGAGCCACACCTCCCTTCCCAGCACAAATAGATGCCGAGTCCCCTTAAGATGGATAGGTATGTAGATAACATCTAGTGTGACATCGTGCCTATTGATATATCAAACATTTTATTGGTCCAACCCAAGCTATATGATTTGACTATCATAGATTCTAGCAAGGAGAACACATGTATTCAAGCATCAGAATAAGACCATTAAGCTTTTATGTGCAAAGAAAGTAGAGACTGCAATAGCACCAAACAAGCCACTTTAATATCCATCCAAAATCCACACTTAAGCAAAATGCTTGACGACGCTTGATAGTGATTGGATCCCCTACTAATGAGGAAAGTGATCATGCAACTGATTCCAACATAATTTCACTTGATCGTAAGGACAGAGAGTAGAATTTAGTACTCTTAAGAGAGAGTTTATTAATCTTTCTCATTTCTTTTGCTTCATATGAGGAAGGTTATTCCCGAGCTAGTGGAAACTCACAAACTTATTGTGATCTCACCGCTTCTGTCAAATTTGAGTGACAATATCCCTGAGGAACTTTCTGATTAGTTGCCATCTTTGAAAGACATACAATATATTACAAACTTTATCCACGGGCCTCATCTCTCAAATCTACCCCATTATAGAATAAACCCAATTGAGTACTTATAAAAAGATTCCTCTAGAAAAACCTTAGCCCTTGTGCAATTACTGCCCTTTTGACTCCAATGAAGGATGACATATGGAGGATGCGTGTAAATAGTGTTGCAACTCGAGTTATTCACAATTTATGTTTTTAATAATAACAAATATTGTGATTCACATCTTTATGTCTAATTATATTTGCAATGTATTTTTGTTTGTGTGTGTACTAATATTTCAAGAACATCATGTGCCATAAAATGAAGATTCAAGGCTCAAGATTGGATAGAATAGGTTATGCTGTAAAGATTTTTGTAATATTCATTGATGTATTTTTTATTTCTTGAGACAAGTCCTGTAAGAGTGTGTATGCTAGCTTGGAGACCATGCACACACACACACTCAAGGGGAGTGGGATTAAGTCAAAACTAAAAGTTTAATTGTTGAACTAATCGTACTATACGATTTGTATAATATTGTACAATCACCTCATCTAACTAATCGTACTAGACGATTTAGATCATCCAGGACGATCTAATATGATCATGAAAAACAATCGTCAATCACAATTTAGGAAATAATTTGAATATCATATTTTGTTCAAATCGTCCAGGACGATGTATATCGTACTGGATGATCTATGAAAAGCATGTCTAAATTGATCATGCGATTAGGGGACTAATTATGGTTAATTTGTTCAATCTGATCGTCCAGGATGA